CAGACACGCAGGTTGTCGGTCTGCAGAAAGGTCCGCTTGGGGAATGAAAGGTTGTGCACTGGAGTCAAACTGAAAAGGGTAACTCACTGGTTCTTTGCGAGGATCAATGATATGCTCATGGCGAGGGATCTGCAGCATGGTGATTTCATCAACATCAGGATCACTTAGAGTGACATGCAACTCAAGATGTTGTCCAGTCACAGCTGGCCAAATTTGCTGACTCAACAATCGAGTTGCTCCATGAAACCCCTCACATCGCAGATCACGCTGTGCACACAGAACTTCATGATCCTGAAACCACAGAAACCTGTCATATGTCAGTGCACTTGGAACTAATTGGGCAAAGCGGTCATGAGGCTGATTGGTATTGAGGTTCCTGTATTGGCTCATTAATACTCCAGCTTCATCGGGGTGTTCAAGTTGAATGATGAGTAGAGATGTCCACCATGTCTTTCTTGCGCAGGATCGGGTTGAAAAGGAACAATGCGAAACCCCCAGTGTGGTCGGAGACGGTCTCGCCATACTTGGGCAATTCGTAAGGACCATTGATTGGGGTTGTTAGGCAAGGCAATTGTTCTTGGGTTGGAACATCGTGGATGGTTCTGACTGCAAAGGTACCAGGTGTCAAACATCATCACCTCTTCATTCTGCAAGCCTCGGTGCCTACGATGTGGCTGATTCCACAGGGCACGCAGTTGTCGCAACTGCTCATCATCAAATTGGTTTTCGTCCTGATGGGCTTGCCTTCGATGAAGTGGTCTCTGATGGGAATTGCATGTTTGAATAGTAGGAGTGTGTCTGTGCTCGCTCGCAATTCTGTGTTTTGTCACAGGTAAGGTTTGCAAGAGCGCTGAATCATCAGTGCCAAGAATCTGGCATTGCATTTGATCATCATCTCCAATGAAAACATGCATATAGTCTCCATCATTCAGGCTCAATGGAGTCAGAGTTTCAGGTGAAATGAGGATGTTGTTGTGCCAGACACGACAGCGCTGCTCATGCTGCTGGCAGAGATCTTCGACTCCTAATAGCCTCAGCAAAGTCAGGCGTGTCATGGTGTGCGGTAACCACTTGGCCACACGTCTGAATGCAAATGGCAGGAGTTCCTGCTCGACAAAGATCTCAAGGTCAACTAACAAAAGCCTCATGATCGGTGGGTGACGCTGATCATGGGTTGTTTGCAGAAGACATGCTTGCAAGTCCATTTCAACAAGATCCTCAGGTCGATCTGGCATGTGGAAAACGTCCTGAATCTCATGGAGCTCCAATGTAAATTCGGCGGCAATGCACCGATGCAGGGTTTGCTCATCATTGTTGGGCGGTGCAAGAGATCTAGCACTCCCATCCAAAGCAAAAACTACTGTACGCCTCCCAGATACTGGTTCAGAGGAGCATGTTGCCTCTGATGACACCGAGGTAGATGTAGAAGAGGATGGAGTTCTAGGTCTTGGCTGCCTGGCCATCATCTTCATCATCTTCTTCATAGGGTTCAGGATTTTCTCTCTCATTTCTCAATCGTTCAATTGTTCGAATCTCATCTTCTTCATCAGGTTGTAGCACTGGAATTCGAATGACAAGGCCCAGCCCATCGTGGCATCGAAGAGGCTGATGTCGATTGAAGACATGCGGCCCTGAGCGTATGTAACACGGTCCAAAACCTTGACTTTCAATGGCTTGACATCTCTCCAGCGCTCCTGCACGTGCAAGCACAACCTGTGGCTCCACAAAAATGGGTAATGAATGAGCAGACTCATGTAGATGCCGTCCATCCAATGCATCATGTACAGTCGTGGTCAAGACTGCAGCTTGGCCTCTGACTGGATGTTGCACAATCAAAAGAATTCCAATAATGCCTTGAGTCAAAGGTATTGGAGGCTCCGGTGCAACAAGGTGGAGGTCAAAACCAAGTGAATGGTCAAAATGATCATGCCAGACTTGTATTATTTGCTGCGCCCAGGATTCATAGTGTCGGTCAAGTCTGACCGGTCGCTTTTCTTCTTGCCTGGTGCAAGTCTCATGGCTCAGGTAATAGGTACCAAGATACATCACAGGACCTTCTTCAAGAAGTTCAGTGGCTCCTTCTTCCTGTATCAAATGCCACAGGTCAGTGACCCAAGCAGGGAAATGACGCAATGGTGGTCTGCGGTCTTGCCGTTGATGTCCTCGGCGTCCAGAGCCATCTGAGTCGCTGGGTGGGTCAGCAAAGTTTGGAACTTCAGTAGGATCAGGACGATCATAACAAGGTCCATAGCATGGGGCATCAAAAGCAGAGATTTGAATGTCAACATCCTCCGTCTCTTCGGACGCAGGGTGTGATGTGGTTCTCAAGGTTGATGCGATGCCCAATTCAATCAAGTCTTCAATTGGAACAGGGTGTTTGGTGTCATTGATAAAGTTCTCAAAGAAGATTGCATCAAAATGTGGCGCAAGCAATGGTGAAGCCAACGAGTGCTCAAGAAGAAGAGCTCTGGTCTGCGCATCCCAGACACTGACAAAATCAGGCTCTGCGAGAACAGAATGTGGAGGAGGGTGAAGCCATTCAATAAACCCAAATTGAGTGCTTCTGGAACATGTCTCAACTCCAGCATCTGATGTTGAAAAAAGGCTGCATGGTTCTTGGCTTGCTTGTCCTTGAGGGTGGACAACAGTCACCCTGGGCCAAAAAGCCAACCAGCGCATTGGGCGCCGCTTCAAAAGCCCCTCGCCTCTCCAAGCTAAATGGTCAGACAGATCTAACCGCTTGGCCTCCCTGCTGGACGCATGGAGGGTCAGGGCACTTGAGATTCCCGAGTCTCCAGAATCTCGACTTCGTCGCCTGCTGCCTTTTCTGTGATGCGTCTTCTTTTCGCCATCTTCTCTTCGATGGTCTCCCTGACTTTTTGAACAGCTCCATGAAGTTCCGTCTTCAGCTGCGTAAACTGTGGTTGCTCGGAAATAACATCCATGTCCGCAATGATCATGGTGTCGTCCAAGGCAATCTGTCCTTCTTGAAGTTCGCCTTGAGGAACAGAACCTTCCACCGACATAGTGCGGACATGGATCTCGTGAAGCTGAGTTCGCACTTGCTGGAGATGTTCTGCAGCTTCTTTCCTTTTCTGCGAGAACTTGGTTTCCCCTTCTTCGTAGGAGTCGATGTGCGAAGTCCACATTTTGGTTGCAGTATCTAGGTATGCAGTCCATTGTGTTCTGAATGCATCCCATTGCTCCTCGATATCTGACAACTTCTTGCGGGCTTGAGTCAGGAGATAGATGAGCTGCTTGTAGCTCTTGGCATCGTCTTTTCGGATGCTGGCTTCCAAAACTGCAAGGGCCTTCTTGACTTCTTCCGACTGTTCGCCTGACTGTCCACGAACTTGGGCATGCAGGTGTCGAAGTGCTTGAAGTTCTGCATCCTCCTTTTCTGTACGCGATTTCCCAAAGGGCTGCATCGCTGTGGAGGTGGTAGCCGTTGCCGAAGGCGTCTGCTCCTGGGAGAATGGTGTGACCGGAGGCGCCAACCATGCTGTAGATGGTGGCAAGTGCCCAAAGGCAACTGCTCCTCCCTTGGCTCCTTTTCCACCAACCTTTTCTTGTGGATCGTCCTGACGTCCTTTGCGGACACGGGCGCTGGAGCTCCTTTGACGTGGGGACTGCGTCCTCCTTCTGGGGGACTTCCTCGATCTCGTCCTGTGCCACGCTCCCACTTGTCCTTCCCAGGGCATTTCTGTCCAACTTCCAGAAAAATCTCCGGTGTTGTAGTTCTGATTGTCCTTCTTCTTGTGGGGCTTGTGCACATACGTTGGGTCGTTGCATAGCGTCCATGAACCCCAGCACCCACCACAATAGTCCATTGTGGGACTCACCATTCTCATGCAAAATTTGCAGCGCCATGGATTGCCATATGTCGCCATCTCTCTGCGGATCCTGGCTATAAGCTGAGGATCTCGTGAATGGTGCTGGGTCAACGAACGCAGCAATGCACTCAGTTGAGTGACACTCAACAAAACCTGTCCAGTTTTGTGAAGATACCAGCGAAACCGTGCAATTGCTCGTTTCCTCCTTGCACTCCTTCTCTGTGAGGGCGTAATCCTTGATGAAATAGGGCAACACCAGGAAGAAGGTCAGAACAAAGCGCATAGACCAGTGAAAGAAGCCCGAATGTGAAGGCAAATGCAAGGATCTCGTGCTCTCCAATGAATAAAGTGTCCAGCAGTAGGCCCAGTGAAGTGCAGCTAGTGCCAAGACAAACTTTAAAAGCAATGGTGGTTCGACCTGCCCAGGGTCGAAGAGCACAACTGCCAATGCAAAGGCGCAGCCGCCACCAGCGCCCGCGGGATAATGGCAGAGGTCTCCCGCTAAGGTCGGAACTCCGCACGGAAAGGGGGGGAAGATCTTCCCTTTCACGTGCAGTTACAGCCAAACCTTATATAGTATATATATATATATTATATATACATATAATGTTTATATAGTGTATATATATATACACACTGTTTGTATATGTATATACATACACACTGTTTGTATATGTATATACATACACTGTTTGTATATGTATATACATACACTGTTTGTACCTTATGTGTGAGAACAGATATGTATTGCGATGCCATGTACACGACCAATGGCTTGACTGATAGAAATAATTGGGCTACCCAATTCCAGGCACCCCCCGGACCCTCCAAATCCATGCAAAGTCCCATCCATTTGGAAAGTCCATGCCATGGTTGAAGATGTTGAAACAAACAAAACTGCTTTGTCTCAAACTTGTGCACTGCAAAATTTGATGATGGCCTTTTGGGGGCCTCGCCCATTGACAAACCCCCATATCTATTCACGTGAAATCCCTATGATATAATCACTGCTTGGTGGTTTCAAACATTTTTGAATTTCCATATATTGGGTTTTCAGAGGTGTAGGTATACCACCAACCAGATCATCATTTTGGTTGGTTGAAACATGTTCAAACCCAATTTGGTGATGTTGCCCAGCTGGTTCCAGCTGGTTCCAGCTGGTCCCAGGTCGAATAAACAGCCGGCAATGGTAGCTGCACCGAAGTGATCCTATTCTTGTTGAGCAAATCCCAAGTTTTGTTGGTTCAATCAATCCGTTCACGATCCCCACGGCAGTGTTGATGAATTTTTACAAAGCCCCCCATTTTCGCTAGCAAATTGACCTTCTTTGGTTTGGTTCCTTTTTACAGTTGGAAGCCAATCGTACATAGACCTCTCCGGGCGGTTGAAAAGCGACAGCCTGTGATCTCGTGCTTCCGGTCTGAGCCAAGACGGCACAGCATCACCCCGTCCCCGAAAAGGGGTTCTAGGCCAAAAACGCAGCAGCTGTGACCCGGGGATGATTCCAGGGACTGAGATGCTGAAGGATGGGATAGTATAATTATGTATAATTGACAACCAATGGCACCGGGCAAAAGGCAAGACATGACATTGGCATGACAACACTTCACAATGAGTGGCCCAAACATGAAAACCGTCGCGGCCTCACGTGTGGTTTTCTTGGGTGTCCTGCTACTGTACCATCGCAACGGCATCACAGTGGCCAGGTCGCACCAAAGCAAGAAGGTGTTCAGGTGCGAACAGTTGACTTTGGTTTCAGTCCTGTCGATAAACCCAGAGATTGGTCAAGATTTGAAGAGGACACCATCAATTTATCGGGGTATCCAATTCTTGTATTGCAGGGACTGAACTTCAGGAAACTTCAGGTGCCATTGGAATCCGTACACCCTCAGGAATGCCAAGCCGGTTTTGTTGAGTCCGTACCTTCGCTGAGTCTGAGTTCGGCTCGAGCTTTTTCTCCGCGCCCCATCGCCTCTGTCGCTTCCAATGGCTCTCCGTCGCTTCAACGCAGGTGGCAAGAAGCAGAAGGATCGCTCAAAATCTCTTGGCGCCGGTCGACGGTTGCTGATACCTCCACATACCTCCATCGAGGGATATCATCCCCCCGTGAAATCTAGTAGTAATTCCCGCACAGAAACAAGACACATACACCTTCAAATACTCCAACAATGGAAGAACCACTGTCCCGCATCAGCCCATCACACTTTACCACTTGTTCAAGTGGACATGTCGAAAAGCATAGGAGGCACCCCCAAAAAAAAAATATGAAAACATGGGAGATCGTGTTGCATCAGACCCCAGTAGATTGTGGTTATCTCCAATCTCACTAATTATTCCATTCAAATCCCATTAAATCTGCATCAATCATGAAACATTCCCTAATTGGTTTCACCGGTAACGTGGTAAACCAATGGCTCAATGGAATCGTCATCCCGCCCAGGAGCTGACAGAGGAACAGAAACAGGAGATCAAAGAGGCCTTCGATCTCTTCGACACCGATGGCTCAGGTGCGGCCTTGGCGCGGTGTGAAGGTATATAAAGGAATGGCTAAAGAATGATCATAATAGTAATGATAGTCGCAAATGATAATGATAATAGTAATGATTATAATTATAGTAGACAATGATAAGGTGAATGATAATGATGACAACGCTGATAGTGATATGATGATGATGATGGTGATGATGGTGATGGTGATGATGATGATGATGATGATAATCACAATAGTAAGGATAGCAAACATGGCAATGATGTGTCTTAAAGGTGCTGTTCTCACTCCCAATTTATCGCCTGCTATTTTAACTTTTTAATTTATTTAAAACGATTTTCTCAACAGTCCTCGCCCAACACAACTTGGGGCACCCCCTTTTTAAGCTGTGCACGGAAGCTGCTGGGAGCCCAATGTGCTCTTGTGAAAAAGATACATACTAATCCTAATGATATAAAATGGTAATGAAGACACACAGATAACAATAGTAATAACAATAATATAACAATAATAATACTGTAACAATATAACAATAATGCGAGTGATCACAAATAGCGAATAACAATAGTAATTACTGATAATAGTAATAATAATAATCATAATAATCAATCATTATCATAATCATACTATTATCATAGTAAACTAGTACAATAGACTATCCAATTATAACATAAATTATAATAACTAGAATTTGTATTATGATTATCATAATAGTGCTATCATCATCATGAACTAGTGAATGTGTTATGATTACTATTATACATTATTATTAACTTTATTCATAACTAGTTTCATAAACTATGATATTATCACCATGATATAACTAACCATGTATTTTAGTGATATATTTTAGTGATATATCACCATGTATCAATCTGTATCACCAAGTATCGTCACGAATCATCAGTCGATGGTCGTCCACGAAAAACCAACCAGGTGAGATCGACTCCAAGGAACTGAAGGTGGCCATGCGTGCCCTGGGCTTCGAACCAAAGAAGGCGAATCGCTGATGTTGCGCTCATGATTGGCTGGTTAATAGGATTGATATATGATTAATTAATGATTATAGCATGGTTATGATTACCAAGCTGGTTTATCTCAAGTTGGTTTATAATGCATGAACTGAAGTTGGCTTGTCTGAAATTTAGAATCCATAATTTGGTTGATTATGGCGTTTCCTCATGAAAATGACACAGAATTTATTGCGGGGTATAGCCCCATTCTCAGATGAGCACAGGAAGAGATTCAAAAGATGATCAGCGATGTGGACGACGATGGAAGTGGCACCATTGGCTACGAAGAGTTGCTCGGTTTTCATCCGTTTTCCCACCCCCGGGGGATCCCCTGAGAAGATTGATGCCCAACTCACAAATCATACATGACTCAGATTCGTTTTGGGATTTTGGGGGATGGGTTGAACGCCTAAAAATCAGCATTGAATCTGAGTAGATACAAGAATATCATCAGATTCAACAGCCATAGATCTATCAGATAACACGTGTAATTCAATCTGATTCTAATTTGTTGGTGTATATATATATATATCTGTGTGTGTAAGTGGTATCAATCATCAATCAACATATGCATCTTGATCAGCCAGGTTCCTGAAGATGATGACCCACAAAATCCTGAACCGCGACCCGAAAGATGAGATTTTGAAGGCTTTCCGGCTCTTTGATGATGATGAGACTGGCAAGATCTCCTTCAAGAACCTCAAGCGTGTTGCAAAGGCCGGTGCCACGGTGCCGCGCGATTTCCCGTTGTCCCATGTCCCGTTGTTTCGCCAGGAAAGGTGTGGATATGTTAAGAATCTAGCGATTCGAAAGATTCTAAAGTCATCAAAAGTCATCAAAAGTCATCTGTGGCTTCAAATATATTCAAATATGACATTGGAATACTGAGTTGCAAAGGATGAGGTCCAGACGGCACATCTTTGGTCGGCCAAACCCCAGACTAGGAGCTTGGCGAGCGCATGACTGACGAGGTCGGCATGGGTCGGCAAAGCCGATGTGCACAGGGGATCATACATGATCATATGCCAGGATACTGGTTGGTGGTTTGGAACATGAATTTCATTTTTCCATATATTGGGAAGAATCATCCCAACTGACTAATATTTTTCAGTGATTGAAATCGATTGAAATGTTCTGCGGAACTTGAGTTGGCATCTTTGAGGATGAAATCATGCACCGTTTGCGAGTTTCCAGAGCCAAAATTATCCAGAGACTGCCCTGCCCATATTTTCAATGGGAAACCCAAGTGGTGAAACTGGGTACGCTGACGTCAGAAACCTCCACATCCCCATGATGCTCCATTTTCTGGGTAAATCCCCAATGGAATCTTCATTTCACCTTGTATTCATCATGTTCCATAGTTTAAACAGTATAAAACAGTGACAGTCCCCCATGCTTGTCGACGAAATCCACAAGAATCCGCCATTTTTGTGGATTCTGTACAATATATCTAGTGAAATCTATTGTACACAGCATTTGACTATCTCTATGACTATCTATATGTAGAATAATGGAAACAATATATATATACACATACACAATTATACATATATATATACATATACATATATATATATATACATATATATACATATATATATATACATATATATATATATATATATATATGGTGAAATCCAGCAAACACCTGCCATGAAATAACCGGCGGTTACAGTAGGAGCTCCAAGAGATGATCGATGAGGCGGACCGCGACGGAGATGGTGAGGTGCTTTGCGCTGTTGTGATGTGATTTTTTTTGTTTAAAGCAACCCCCAGTTGTGGATAGATAGTCATCATTATATATAGATATATAGATATATGTATATGTATATGATTCATATAGGATTGATATATGGCTATGGATCAATACCTATACATACCATTTTTAGGGGGATGAACATCCATAAATCCCAGCTATTTTGATGTGAACAGAAGGGGTACATGGTTTTGACACACTGCCATATGGGTGTATAATATATATATATATATATGTATGTATGTATGTATGTATGTATGTATGTATGTATGTATGTATGTATGTATGTATGTATGTATGTATATGTATGTAATCATGGTTATGTAGAAAACCACTTGTATAGATATAGATAGTCATCATTACACTGTCTATAAACCAGTTGTAAACCATTTGTTCATCAGCATTTTGTTCTATAGTGAATGTCTAGTCAAATGATGATAGATAGGGATAGATAGATCTAACCTCCCTATGCTATGATAGATAGAAAACCCTGTGTTAATCACCATATCTATCATCATGACAATATGGATGATTTTGGATGATGTGTTCCCGCCAACCCTTTGGGCTTGGAGATCGGGATGAACATTAAGATTTAACAGCTATTTTGAGCAGGATATGTGGCCAAATACTGGATATACAGTGTGTATGTATATATTATATATACATACATATATATATATATATGTATATATATATAGATAGATAATATGTGGTTGTACAATGATTCCATATACCCCAACCTTGAAAAGAACGCTGTTTTTGTTGGTGATGAATTAGAAGTCAGTGTTTTTGGATGGAAAATGATCGGCCCCGTGGCACTTTTCAGAGCTTACAAGGCTGAATCAACCCATAGTTGATATAAAAAATCAATCAACTAGTCAGTAACTATATTTGAAACCACCAACTATGATGAAAACTTTCTGGGTTTCAAATATCGTTGATCTTCCCCTTGTTTCAGGGGATGATCTCAGGTAACTCCACCCTTCTGTGCGTGGTTTGCGTAGGTGAACGAAGAGGAGTTCCTGCGTATCATGAAGAAGACAAACCTTTTCTGAAAGCACTTAGAAACTGCAGAAACGCGAAGGTTCACAACTGACACAAAAGTAGCTCTGCCAGGCTGGAGTTCGATGAACTTATCATCAATTACATCAGAAATTATTGAAAAACGACCAGAAAATGGGGTTCTCCAAAAATAAATGGGGTATCCCGGTATCCCAAAAATCCTGAGCGTTCTCCCAACTTTCAATTATGTACCCCACTAGACCTGCGTTTTCTTGGAGACCCAAGCACATGGACCTGTGTAGATGTGCAGTGCTGTTGTTTCGCGTGGCTGGTAGATGTCCTCGGGTGCGGATCAGTCGATTGACTACCTTGGTTACCGTTCTTTGATGGGAATCTACTAAAAATGTCACGCGAAATGCTGGTGAAATCTCGAAATTCAGATTCTCTGACATCTTCAACTTCCAGGTCGTTGTTTTTTTTTTACAGTAGGCACCTGCGCTGCTGCCTCTCATCCGCAACCAATGGAATTGCTCGTGCACGACAGTTGATGCTTACAAGCTCTGACAGCTGGCAAATCATGTGAGATCCAATCGAAACAAACAGAATTACAGTGAATGGTCACATGTCGTCGCTCTACCGTGGAAATAAATATGTTGACATTGTATAGTCACATACTCTTATCACTTGACCTTCAATACCAACTAAGGCATTTGTGAATTCTGGTTTCAGCATGAGAGTTGTTGGATACATCATATATATATATATAATATATACATATACGTGTATATATATATACACATATCATATACATGTTGCATGTGTATTATGTATACAGCAGCATAGTAATCATAGCAACCATAGCAATCATAGCAATTCATAGCAATCATAGCAATTGGTTATTGAGAGAAACAATTCTGGAAAGTCCATGTATCGGTGTTACTGAACTCGGTGCCCTGCATCTAAGCTTTGCGTTTGCATCTCTATTGAAAATAACATCATCATTGTAGTCAGGACCCCTTACCCTCTGGTAAACTAACATAGCTATGGAAAATCACCATTTTTAATGGGACAATCAACTATAAATGGCCATGTTCAATAGCTATGTTAAATTACCAGAGGGTACCCTGGCCCTTACCATCAGATTCAGCATCCTTTCCTTACCAAGTTGGGTGAATTCTTGTGGTGCCACGCCGTCGCGAGCTGCCAAATGTACATCTGGAGACGTGACGTGACGAGACGTGTCCTCTGGTCTCTCCATTTCCCGACTGTCCCTGGCCTGGAAAAGTTTGTGCCCTGAGGATGGTTGAGGCAGATGCAAAAAAACACCATTTTTCAGTGAAGTGACAGGATCGTCTCCAAGATATCACTTTGAGGAAGGGATATGAGGGCTGAAACAGCGCAAAGTTCTAGCATTGGTAAATTTCACACTGAAATAAGGATGAACATCACCATGGATATTGTTATTCTATCACTGACACATCATAACTTCATAACACTCCGAAACTGGTTGGAAATCATTCTGGAAGGGGCCCAACTGCTAAGCAGCTGCAACGGTCAAGCAGGTGTTTGTACACACAGAACTTAGGTACTCAATTGTTCTCTCATCCATGTCCCATTGTTTATGAAAAACTCAGGAAATGATCTTGATATGTTTGTTTCACTTGGTTAAAAAGAAAGGTCGCAACATGTTTTACATGAATAGCACCCAAAAAAAGATGCAGCTATTTTTCGTAAAATCACAAAATATCAGGCGTAAAGAATCCAATGGGACAATGATTATCATACGTTGTACGTATATTATCACGGGATATTAATATTGATGAATTATCAATATGTGATATTAATCATATAATTATCCCATTATGAAAATATCTGATTATAAATTATATCCCATTAAAATCCATTAAATATTTATAATCATAATGGGATAATTTAATAGTTATTATTATCCCAAAGATTTTTTCCATGTCATTCCTTCGCCTTTCAGGCCGAGTCACCGGAGGACTTGCTGGGCGTCTCGTAGGGCACTCGGCGCAACCGCGAACGACGAGAAATCCGCGAAGTTTTCACGAAGGATGTCATGTTGAAGTTTTATACCCAGCGGGTATATATGTTTGTATACATATACAATAGACAGTGTGTGTATATATATATATATATCATATTAGATAGATATATATATATATATCATTATATATATATATAAACACATACGCTATATATACATACGCTATATATACATACACATGTGTATATCATGGTGTAGAAACGCTTGGGTTTTATACCGGATGTTTAATGGTTTTATCATGAAATTACTGTATAATGATGTATATATGATAGACATGATATTTCATCGATTTATTGTACTAAAAACTTGGGCATGCCCCAGGGCACGAGCTTCGCCTCCATCAGGCGTTGGGGTGGTTTCGATGGTGATGGCACGCCATGAAAAATAGGGACTTTATCCCATGGATTTAATGAAATTGTACTGGTGAAACACGCGATTCCTAGTAGATGATAATGCCTAATATGTCAAGGGTCGCACACGACCATGTGCGACCCCCGAACTAATCACGAAGCAACAGAGGTTTAGCACTGCTCAAATTGCCAAAAAATGTTCAGAGTCATTCTCTTTCAATAACTCTTCAGGATTTTTTGTCGCCAGTGAGCCTCGAGAAATTACTTGATGCCCAGAACTTGACCATGCTCCTGGGATATCCTGAGGTCCTGGGGTGTTGCGATTTCGCCCCAGTTCCGTAGTTTCACAAAATCATTGAAGATACATCGATATATACGTGTCTAGCATAACCAGACATGTGTCTGTAAATTTTGCTTGATGTTGGGTATGGATGTGTGTTGCAGTGTTCAAAGAACTGAGAGAAAGGGGATCAAGACCTTATTTGCATCCAAGTACAGTAGCGTAAAGGAAAGCCAAACAGAAACAAAGGATAACAAAGAGTTGCCATGTTCAAACAAGACTGCAAAATGTGGGAATGTGGGCCTCCACAACGTGCCACCCTCCTCCCAGCATCAGGTTTCTCAAAGTTTGCATGATTTCTAGACAGCCAGTAACTGCCTGCCATGGTCAAGACTTGGGCAAATCGCCAATATCAGAGGCTGGTCATCAGTCCATGAATAAGGATTTATATGTATCATCAATCAACAACTCCCATCCTGTTATGAGTGACTTAAGAGCCACAAAAGCCAGTGTTCCTTGCACCACACCAAATTACATCCCCCGCAATAAATATCCGTTTGAAATTGACAACACCTGGGTGTTGGCTAGGCAGGGCACATAAACTTCCCATGGCAGTTCCTGGGATTGAGGCCATATTTTTTGGTGCTGCAGAGTGATAGAGATGATTGGTATTTTATAAAGGGTCAAACAAAAAAATAGTGGCATACTTTGTTACTGTAGACAATGTTTGCTTTGCAGTTTGCAGTTCCAAGGCTCTGCCTTAGATTGTTTGATGAGGTGAGATGAAATGAGATGAGCATAAAGATTAGGTGAGATAGATTCAGATAGATTCCATTTCTTCGACGGTGTTTCTTGTGATCCATGTTGGCTCGTCCTATCGACGCGTAAGGCCCCTTTTTTCGCAGGAGACCTGAGGTAAGCCCCATGAGACTTAAAGCTCCTGCAGACCGAAAATATGTTATTTGATTTTCAGTAGGAGCTGTGAAAGCATTGCCTGTCAGTAAGTGAAAATGTCTTTTTAGCCATGTTGAACCAGTCTAACCGTTGATCACTTCAACGTAAATGCCAAGAAGAAACACATATTCATCTAAATGATGCATAGCAACTCACTCGAACCCATATTAAAAAAATAAGTTGATTAGATCTGGATCCGGTGAGTTTAAGGGTCTTTGGCAATCATTGTTACATTGTTGCTGCATGTTGCCCAGAAAATCCGTGAGGTGAGATGAAGCGAGATCAGATTACAGTAAATGAGCTGAGATGAATTAAGATTAGGCGATATAAAGTAAAATGAGGTGAGATGGGCTGAGATGAGGAGTGATCAACTAAGATGAGGTGAATTGAACTGAGATGAGTTGGGATGAGTTGAGACGAAGTGAGATGAGGTGATATGACATATGAGTCATATGAGCTCAAATGAGGTGTTAGAAGAGTCGAAGGTAGATGAGGTGAGATGAAATGAGATGAGATGAAGATGGATGATATAGATGAGGTGACATGGACTGATACGAAGTGAAATGAGCTGACGTAAAGTAAGATGAAGCAAGCTGAGGTGATATGAAGTGAAGTGAGGTGGGGCGAGCTGAGATGAACCGAGATGTTGTTTGTTGGAGATGAAGTGAGACGAGATCAGATGAATGGTTTTCCCTCTTGTAAGCTCTGGCTGTCGCAAACGGAGAAAAGCCGTTGACAGTTAAAGGGCGGCGCTAACAAGGAACACATACCTGACCCCATTGAATTTAACCTTATTATCTCACCTGGCTTACAGTGGCTTACAGCTGTGCAGTAATTTCCATATAGCCAGCAGAAGTTGCTTTCAGATATGGGCAATCATCATTACCTCATCCTTTACTACGTAGACATGAGTACCTAGACTTTCTTGTTAATACATCATCGATGAAACATACTACATAGTTGCAGTCTGGGTGAGCTGGTCAGTGGTGACCTCACAATTTTTTTCCGCGTACGTCAACAACCTGGCTTCAACAGCATCAAGACTTTGGGGCCGCAATCTGTGGAGGAGCTAGGTGTGGCTAAGTTCTACTTGGTGCCTGGCCATTCACTGACAAAGCTCAGCCGCCGCCCTCCATACTGAAGCCATCAAGGCGCTGAGGCGCCCACCCGCTGCCAAAACGCAACTTCCTCGTTCGACCATAAAGCACGCAACGGCCTGACGCGACGCCAGCCGAGAGGCCTCAGAAGCCGACCAGCTGCGGCACGAAGCCGGCCCTGGGGCCTAGGATGTTCTTGCCGAATGGGTCAGCATTGTTGCGCAAGGACGGACAGTGTAACCCAGACGGCTCTACTGCTGCAGTTGCCTGTGAGGTTCCACAACACGCTTGAATTGCATGTTTCGACGCGCAATTAAATTTTCGCTCCACTTCCACGGTTTGTTTTGGTGAAGCGCTGTCAGCTGTGCCATTGGGTTGCGGAATTGAGGACGAAAGGGGGCCTCAGCGGCATCTTGTTGTCCATGCGTTGGATGAGCACCCAAGGCGTGAAGAAGCGCCTAAAGAGTTCCTTCCGCTGGTTGCAATGTCGCGTCCGGAACTTGGTTTGGGTCTATAAGATGGCATGGCAAAAGTCCAGTAGAGGGGAGCCATCTTGCTTCGGTGGCGAGGTTGCAGATGTTTTATTGTGACAGCTGCGGGGGCGGCTATGTGATCAACCTAACAGCAAAGTATTTTGCCGCAGGTTAGATTTTGATCGTCAGTTTTTTCATGGGTTCACTGACAATGTTGGAATAGCCTACAAGGAGACTATTGAGTTCATTTGGTTTTGACACATCCAAGACAATGAACACAAAAACCAACAAAATGAAACTGCGCACATTGCACCAATGGACCCGGTCGTTGCACCATTTTTTCGGTGGCCAGTAATTTTGAGGAGTCTTACCCTTAAATATACTCCCCATGCGGCCCCTAAAATGAATACAACCAATAGTCAACCAGAGTTTCTGGGGGAGAATATTTAATGGAAGGGGAAAGGGTCTAATTTGGAACCATGTTTCATCAAATATGGGACCAACCATTCTGTCCAAAGGTCGGTGGCAAGAGCTGGATAATGAGGCCTTCGACACACATGAGCGTTTGTAGCAAATGCTGCACATGCCATGCCTAAGATTTCATGGTAACAGTAACATCAAAAATCCAAATTTGTTTCTTGAAAAAATTGCCACTTCGCAGAATGTTTCGTTCCAGTACCACCCAGTTTCCCCGTGAAAGCGTTGTCTTGATTATTATGAACACATGTCATTTACACAGACATCAGCACAAACTTGGCCCCGCCCATCGCCCGTGGGAGGCCACCTTGCTGCGTGTGGACAGCGGTGACCAGTTGGTCGACCAATTTGCGTCGCCGCGAGATTCACGTGGAGAGGTTGCCTCCAAAGCGTTGTTAGCTGTGGAATCCAAGGTGATTTTGGGGCTGGAACGGGATGGGATTGCGTGGCCGTTCATTTTTTCTTGGGTAAAACGAACACAAAAAATATCTGTATGTTTGCTGCGTTTATATGTTGGTCGATTATTTTTTTGTTTCATGAGACGAAACATCATGGATCCATGTCGCAGGAGCACCATGAGAAGCGATGTTCACAGGCAGGAATGGTAAGAAATGGTGGGTCACCCAGGAAGGGTAGGAACATGTAGCGAAAAGTTAGTTAGAGGAATATTTGTAAACTATAATAAATAGTCTTTTTAACATGTGTATGATATTGGACTTAGTGGTCCAACACTGGTGGTTTGTCCAAAGCCATCCATTACTGTGGCCAGAAGCGGGCTTAGCGGGTGTTACGGTTTGATCCTGGGGAAAGATGACATAGTTTGGCGCTCTGATTTGTGTAAGCAGGGTGAAATTCAACGCAACTTCATGCAGTTTATCTACGTTTAGCTGGATTGTTTGGACCCCCTTGGCATGGCGTCCTTGTTTAGGCAGTTCTGTTTTCAAGGTGATTTGGCATATAAGGTGTAGCTCAGTGTTGATCATTTGTAGCCAATCTCCCGCATGGCGTAGCTATATTTGGCTAGGTTTGGCTGCATTTTCCATGTGACCATCTTTGTGAATTGATCGCTGACGTCGATTGACGTCGCTTGCAGACACACCCCCCAAGTTGCTGTTTATCATCTCCACGTATCTCCACTTTTTCCTCGATTTCTTCGTGAAAAATCATGTCCAATCCATCGGTCTTGTTTGTTTCAAACCCTTTGTTGGTCGATGCCCCCACATTCTTGGCGGCGTAGCTCTGATGGTTTTGGGATTCCCATGGACTCCCCCAACTCTTGGTGAGTGATTGTCTCTATCTGGATAAATTAGAGGGACCTCACTGGGTAAATCACCATGGTGATTGTCAAAAAGTCGGAATCATATTTAAAAAAAACTCACAGTATCTCTATTTGGGAGTTGATCAATTGTGTGTCCTTGGAGGGATTGAAATATGAGATTGCATAAAGTGTTTTTTCGGCTGAAGAAATGGCAAAACAAATCATTTCTGGCTCTGCGAGATGGAATTTTCAGACAGATTTTCCGTGAAAATTCCGCGACGGTAGTGGCGAAAGTAAAGCTGTCTCGGAAACTCTAGCAAGAAAGCGGGTTACTGTACCATTCCATGCAGTCCGACTACTTGGTCACCGTTTCCATTGGTGCCATTTCCATGTAATCTTAAGATCCCCATATGACCCCCATTAATCTCCATGTTTGGTCAGTTCACCCCCATCATTTATGACTTTGAATTAGCATTTTGGCTCATTAAAATCAGTTAAAATATGTTAAAATCAACACGTTGATCATTTTTTGGTTGGTTAGGCCTCATCAAGATACAGTTTTGATGGCGAAATCCTGCGCCCGTTGAGGGATGTGGTTTCTCACTAGGCTTTCGCCAGGCACGGCGCCAACGCCGCACCTGGCACTCTCGTCGTCGGAGTCGGCGCTGCCGCTCCTTGTCGCTGGCCAAGGCGCCACTGAAGGCGCGAAGCCCATCGAATCTGGCTTTTAAAGATGTTGTTAGGTAGTAAACATATGACAAAAACATGGCAAGATGTAGTGTCGTTGTCAGTTATTAGTTTTAGTACGTGATTGTGATCAATGGTAATAAACACTTATCATGAGAATTGAGAATTGATAATGAATTAGCTATCTATCATAGGTGATAGTTAACCCCCATTTGATTGTATGAATAGTTAATCAATCAAATGGGTGGTCCTTAGTCCTGAGCTTGGAGACTGAGAAAAACATTATTGAAAACTGCCATGTGCGGGTTGGAAGATATGGCCATTTGAACAGGGAAAGCGATGGTTTTAATTTATTTAATTTCAAGAGGAATGAAAAGCATGTTTTCTGATGATTCAGCACGGGTAGGTACATATGACACTTTCTATGGGTACGGTACGGTGGGTACAGTGGGTACGGTACGGTGGGTACGGTGGGTACGGTACGGTGGGTACGCTGGGTACGGTGCGGGAGGTACGGTGGGTACGGTACGATGGTACGGTGGGTACGGTATACGGTGGGTACGGTGGGTGCGTACCTGCACCCACCGTACCGTACCCACCGTACCCACCGTACCGTACCACCCACCGTACCGTACCCACTGTACCCACTGTACCGTACCCACTGTATACCGTACCCACCGTACCCACCGTACCGTACCCACCGTACCCACCGTACCGTACCCACCGTACCGTACCCACTGTACCCACCGTACCGTACCACCGTACCCAACGTACCGCACCCTTCACCGTACCATCATTTTTGAGGACCGTATACCCCCCCACAGAGCATTACTCTTGAAATTCGATAAGTTTTAATAAGTTTTAAACATAGTATACTATATGAGGATCGGTCAACCAAAATATGGGTACAAGGGAAACAAATCAAGAAGACATATACAATACTCGTTCTGCATCTGCATAAGCTGCAAAGGGAACGGTTTGATTGATCAAGGCTAAAGCTGGAAACTGGGAAAAAAACAAACCTAGGCATGCGGGAAGGGACCTAAAGAACAAATGGGGCCAATCGCCATGTGAACCGCAACAAGTCGCGATGTTTCGCCATATCATCACCGTCCCATCTCCGGGTCCCATCTGCCGGATGCGTCGTTGGTAATGTTCCATCCTTTTGTGCTTTATTTTTTCTCTTTCACTCATGTGGTGCCACTAGAGTTGGTCATGTTCCCACGGATTTGTTGATATAGATGCTTATGCCCTGACCTTTGAGTCAGATTGAGAGTTCATGACTGTCTCTGTAGACTACTCGCAATTATCAGGTTCTTTCTGGCAATACCCCAGTTTGGTAAGTCAAATATCAGCAAGTTCTATCACTGCTTCCCATCTAACTTGCTGTGGCTGCCCTAGAATACCCTTCGGCAAGCCCGGCAATGGGAAATCATTTTGAAAAGGAACATCGGCCATTAATCGTCCATAAATCATCAATGAATCATTCATTTGGATGGACTATAATGACCTCAATGTGACGTCACTAGAATGATGGTTGGCAAGGGGCATCATCCCCAAATGGCCTTATTTCAGCTAGTTTCAGGGCTGTGAATTCTTTAAATTCAGCCCGAATCCATGAATCATCCACAAATCATCAACAAATCATCCATGAATCATCCATAAACCATCCACATCAGCCAGGTACGACTTAGCGCTCCCCCGATGCCAGTGACAGTCGTCGAGCCGGCGTCGGCAGCGCCGCCAGCGCAGGAAATGCCTCAACTCCCATCACAGGTGGCCGAGGCGGGTCATCTGGTGACTCTTCCATGGTTTTCCCTGGGCTTTCCATCATTTTCATTCATTTTCCATCTGGAGGTGTCGGAGGTGTCCTAAGCCATGGGGGTTACCCGCAATTCATCCAAGTTTATATAGATTATTTTTGGGGATGGAAATCCATGCTGACTTGGGGATCAACCATTTTGAGAAACTCCCTATCTGGGTTTGCTTCAACATGTTAGGAATGAAATTCACAAATTTTCATGGTTGGCCCTTGTCCTGACATGTTGGCAAGTTGGGAGAAACCTGAAAACCTTACCCTTTGATGGTTGATTGTATTTAAACGTATTATTTGTGATATAAGATATGGCAATTTCGGCAGGTCCATCTTTTTTTTTGAGCGGGAAAAATGAGCTCCGTAGCCATTTTGGCTCAAGCGTTAGCTTGCGCGTCAGCTGCACTATGACTGGGCCTTTGCCGGCTGTTCCTCGTTGCCACGCACATCTTGGCCCGAGCCTTTGACGGCCAAATGGTAGCTGGTTGGACGGCAGGGAACACCCGCCACCTCAACGAGGCTGCGGCGGCGGGGCGCATGCGGGCGGAGTGGGAGAAGTTGCAACAGCCGCCCGCTGTCGCACATGCAGTCGCTCCGGCCGCACCCGGGGTCGCTCCTGCAGACGACGGACAGGGAGCCGGCCGACAGGGAGCCCCCACACATCCAGATCCGCCCCAAAACGCTGCCGCAGACCGACAGCACCACCACCCGGACGTCCAGATCCCCTTAACGCCTGCTGCCGCGCCATCGTCCACGTGCTCTTGAAGGAAGGCATAGGAATTGAGAAGGGCATGATGACCACCATCCAGTCCTACGCCGCCACTCAGAAGACCGTGGGTGGCGTCTCTGCCAATGGCGTGAAGGACGGTCGGTGTGTTGTAACATTATGCGGAGCTCCACCAGAGCTGCAAAGGCTGTGGGCGAGGTGTTGCCGACCACCAAGGGCAAGTTGACTGATATGGCCTTCAGGGTGCCCACCTGATGAGATCGATGAAGAAGGCCACTCAGACGTACATGAAGGGCTTCTTGTCCTTCACCGATGAGGAGTTGGTGTCCAGCGACTTCATCCACAACGTGAACTCCTCCATCTATGACTCCAAGGCCACCCTGCAGATCCAACCTGAAGGGCGAGAAGCGCTTCTTCAAGATCCTGTTTTGCTATTCCGACCGTGTGCTGGGCCTTCCTCCCGCAGCACCCGGAGTCGCTCCGACGGACAGGGGCCCTTGCGGTGTGTTTGGCATGATTTGGAGGATGCCAGCCTGGATATGGACTTTGCTTTAGCACATCCAGTCCCGCCATGTAGCCCACTGAATTCCATTCATGTCCTGCTTCACCAACAGATCGAGTCTGGACAGGTAGGAGTAGTCATCTCCACTTCTGACAATGCTGTTAGACAGGGAGCCCCTTTTTCTGCCGCAGCTGTTTGCAAGGATCCTGCTGACAGCACGCATGTTGTGGATGTCATTGGCAAAGCCGCTGACTGCAGTGCACCGGGGGGTCGATGGCGAGTTTGGTTTGAGCGTTTTGAGGTTGAACTTGGGGCACGGGCCTTCAATCATGGGGATAGTATCCAGGCGCATATCTACCGGACTTTCATGCCTTCATGGGATCCAGAGGATGAAGTTGAAGATAGGATTGAGCTTATGCAAAGAGAGGCCGAGGTCTCCAGCCCTGCACAGCCGATTGCACCCGCTGGAGCCACCACTAGTTCTGAACACCCTAGCGTGGGTCAGACTGATTCCATGCCCTTTTGCTTCAACGTAGATGCTGCTGAGTTTATTCCAGGAAGGCCACCTACGTCGGCCTTACCTGAACGCTTGCAGGACATTTGCACCCTCTGACTGCCATGCCTTTGCTTGGGAGGAGGGCGCGTAAATCTAGTGTCCAAACATGGTACCCCAGTCCTGGGACCCATAGCTTCAAATGTGGATATTCCAGAAAGGTACATCTGTACGATTTTTTTTTCAATGGGAACATTTGATGAGGCAGGCTTGGAGTGATGAACTCATCCCAGATCGCCCACTATTTTTCTTCGTTGTCCAGCCAACACCAGTTGCGCTTGAACATGACATTGCCGCTCACGTTTTGCTGGTTCAGGAACCAGTGGACGATCAAGTCACTAGCCTTGTCACGATTTTTGACAATTCCTTGCGCCAAGGACATCCCTTTCGGATTGCGAGTGTCACGCATGAACATATCTCCTAGGCTGAAGTTATTGAACGCATTGGCTACACTGAGGGACTTTTGAAACATGAAGGACAAATCCGATGCACGCTCCAACATGCTTCTTTTAGTCTGCCAATAATTGAACGCTACGTGCCTGGGCGTGATGGAGACAACCTTGTCGTGCACATTCAGAGAAGCCAGTTCGATGAAACTTGGACACCTCCATGTCTACCAGCGGCCCCAGGGATGGAAGGAGTCCAATTTCTGCAGACAGCTGCGAGGATCATGCAAAGTGTAGTTGATATGGATTCCGACAAAACTGTGGTTACTTTAGCGATGGATAAAGTGCAGAAGGCCCTGACATGGTTCGATACACTTCACTTTGCCCACTGTTGATTTGGAGGCACAGTTGCGAGACCAGGTGACATGGATGCCAGATTCACTTGCCTGGTTTCGATCTGATTGGTTTGCCTGCGATGTCTCAACTGAAGCCATTCGCATTTACTATGATGGATCATTCTTGCCCAAGATGCAGAAAATTGGGTTTGCTGCCGCAGCATGTGTCCAAGCTGCGCATGAATGGCTTTTCGCAGGTGCAGTCCCAGGGATGAAAGACAGTGATACGGCGCAAGGGTCGTACGAGGCAGAAATCTTGGCATCCACAGTTGCAGCCAAATTTTCGTATATATGACATTTGCAAGATTGAGGTTGAAGCTTTCCATTGCAGACCGCGACGTGAACTTGTTTTTGACTCCCTGACGATTGGACGTCAGTCAGAAGGGAGATGGAAAGCTGCAAAGGACATTGAAGCTTGTCATCTCATCAGGAGTATCATGCGCCTTTGTGAGCAACGGTTTGGTGTTCATATTGACCATCTTTTTCGCCCAAGTCACAAGGGAGAACCAGGCAACGAACTTGTTGACAAGTTGGCATATGGGGCAGCTTCTGGTAAGCCCTTACAAGATTGGATATCATTTCTGCAAGAAATGCAAAATGTGCGTTTCATTCGTGCAATGGAGTGGGCGTGGATGCTGTTTGCTAACTTGCCAGGGGTCGACGTTGAGAATGATAAGTCCATATTTCCAGCTAAGCCATTAACCACTCCAACAGCTGAGGTCATGCCACCATTAGCTGTCATGCAGAGTGAAGAGGTCCATGTCCACGTTTCCATTAAGATTGCCACTTGTAATGTGCTGACCTTGCAGATGGGTGGTAGGTCCCAGACAGGCAGGGGCTGCAGGCCCATCACGCCAAGAATGGACTCTCAGCATGCTTGCGGAACATGAGATCTCCATTTTTGCATTGCAAGAGACCAGAGCCAAAACAGTCCGGCGTCATCACGACTCACGGTACCATCTGATCCGCAGTGCTGCCACTCCTCATGGCCACTTCGGGATGATGATTGGTTTGTCCAAAATACATCCGCATGGATGGCGGGATGATGTCCCTGTATTGTTTGGAGACCAAAACTATTTGGTCCTTGTGGCCCAACCCAGACTTCTCATTTTGCAGGTCAGATCCCAGGCATTGAAATGTGTGATTGTTGCTTCTCATGCACTCCATTCAGGCGCTTCCCTTGCAGAAATTGACCTTTTTCGGCAAGAAGCTACGGCAAAGATCCTTAGCAACATTGCTTACATCGAGAAGAGGCCCTCACACCTGATTCGTGGTTACTAGGCCTCAAGTATGATTTGTCTTGGGCTTGTGAATTGGAAACGGATGGGGCTGTACCATTCCAGAACATCCGAGAAGTTTCTGACCCAGCACACATGGATCTCATTGAGATTTTTGACTTCTGGCAATCCGGCGCAGATGCTTGGAAGGTGTGTGTGTGTGTGTGTGTGAAGAGAGCTTGGAAACGTTTTATCCAACAAGAGACGATGATGAACGATCTCATGACAATGCACAAGGCATTTTTCAAGATTTTGGAGGGTGCTGAAGCCACATTCGAGCCATCACCTTACGGCCAATCAGATGCTCTGACTGGAACATTTGCATGTAACTGCGGTCGACAGTTTACCACAGCCCAGGGACTGGCTACTCACAAGCGACAGGCACACAAAGAGTTCTCCTTGGAACATGACCTGCTTGAAGGTACAGCATGCCCGGAATGCCTCCGACATTTTTGGACCATACAGCGCCTTTATCAACACCTAGCTTATGCATCGGGGCGAACTTGCACCAACCCATGTTCCCAAGCTTTGAGACAACGTGGATTCCATGCGCACTCAGAGATCAACAGATGCCCAAAGAAGTGCGTGGGCTGGGGAGAGTTGAGGCCCAACAAGCACTTGGACCGTTGTCCCAGTCCCGGTGAGGGGACAGCTTGATAAGGATCGCATTCAAGCAGATCTCAATGCACTCTACGAGGACCTTCTGATCCAACGTCAACCTGATGATCTTGACGGAGCAAGAACACAGTTGCGTAGTTTCCTCGCTGAAACGGCTGATGACTGGTTCCAGACCTTCCTGCCAAGAAGGATATGAAGAAGAACTGGCTGAGCAGCTGCCTGACCGATGGCTGTACTATTTCAATTTGAGCAGGGCATGGATGGTTGGGTGGAAGATGGTGGAAGCAGAGATTTTAGCAAGGGGACAGCATTGTTTGCCTGACATCTTGGACACCTTTGTTGACGGTGTTGCCGAGCGCTTAATCGATGATAAATATGCCAAGATGATTGAAGACTTCCCCCGCCAACAAACCTTTCGCCAGATTGCACATTTGGAAGCCAAGCAGAAGATTCTCCAAGTGGACAGTCAAATGCCCTTTCCACATAGGCAACCGAAGTTAGGAACAGCCAACGCGACAGAAAAAGCTGCGCATTCGGCGAAAGTCCCAAGTGTTTTTGAAGCCCAAGAAGGTTTCTTTGCACAGATCAGTAAAGCCTGCTGGCTTGACCTTCCGGAATCTGCCTCTCTTGCGCCAAGCGAAGGAGGAAAGGGTCTTCGTGATCGCACACCTTTTCAGTGGGAGGAGGCGGGTTCGTGATGTACATGAAAGATTCCACTTTTGAGCGCAGCGTGCAGGGCTGCAAATCCTGGTCTTATCCCTTGACACGGCTAACTCGGCCACATTTGGGGACTTTCACCATGAGTCCACGGCCTGCGCAATCTGCTCCGCCTCTACAGTGGAGGGAGGATTGCAGCTACGATCGCCCGGGGCTCCGTGTGAGACATGGCCGGCGGCAAGGCACTAATTGTAAGATTCCTACAGCTGAGGGTGACGATACCAAACGCCATCCACGCCCATTGCGTGATTGGAGTCGCTTGTTTGGCAAACTTTACCTTACTTTCCGTGAACTGCGTCAGCCGAGGCAAGGATCTTTCTTCTTCATGCAAATGCTGATCACGGTTGCGTGGACACTGAGGACGGGGGGGGTGTATTTGAGCGAGCACCCTGCTCTCCCAGTAGATCCAGAAGCTGCAAGTATTTGGAACACTCCATGGGTTCGCCTTCTTTGTGCACATCCGGAAGTGGCTCTTCATGTTGTCGCGCAGTGCCGTTGGGGATGCACGGTGAGCAAGTCGACGGGCCTACTTGCAGTGATGCTGCCTATTTTTGCTGCATCCATGTACAGCCGCCAGCAACAGGGTGCGAAAGCACCCACAGAGGTTGCGATCGGCATTGGCCACGACGGTCGATTCAAAACGGCTGCTCACAAGGAGTACCCGATGCAATTTTGTGATGCGCTGGCAGGGACGCTGGTTGACCACATCCAGCACTGTCAGCGACGTAGGCTTTGTAAAGACAGTTTTGCTCTGGATCCTGACCTGTCTGAATGGCTCTGCGAAGCCGCCGTACAGCGCGGTCAAGTATGCAAAGCAGCAACTTGGCTGCCACACTATCAAGGCAGGTGAATTTTCCTAATTCGTGTATATACATTACTAGTGTACATTGCATTGGCAGCAAGGGACGGCTTTTCACGCCACGAAATGAAAAATGGGGAAAATTAGGTTTTTTGACCACGAGATTTTGGGGTAACCCATTTTCAGACAAACCCACATGTCTTTGGCTGTGATGAGTTGGAGAAGAAATGGATTTGGTGCACCACTTGTAGCATTGGGATTAGTATCGACTTGTTATCAGGGCTAAGGGCTGCAAAAAATATGAGCAACTGACATCTCTCAGATCGCCAAAATCTTCCAGGCATATGGCCACGAGCTCTTTCAAAGCTATTGGGACTGGCCTCTTTCACGATTGGATGCATTGGCTGCATTCGTCCAATTCGTCTTTGTATGTTTTTGTCTGAGCACAAGCTACCCATAAATCATCCAACATATATGTTGGTTGATCAAAATTTATTCCATCACGAAGTTCTCATTAAAACGGCAATTTGGGTGTGTTTTCCGGTATGCTATACCTCATCAAACCAAACCAATGGTCCTGCAGTTTTGGTGACCCCGCTAAGGAAAAGAAGATGAGGCTTTTGGAGTTGGATCGTGAACTCATGAAGGCGCCATATTTTGTTCCCCGACTTTGAAGCTGGCACAGTTGGTTCCACGCGAAATCCAGGGTTGTCGAAAATGCTGAGACTTCATGAAAGATCCTCAGAAAAAGAACATGGAACAAAACACATGCGATCATGCAGATCATGCAGATCAGATGTGTGCGGCATGGACTAAGTTTCCAGGTAGAGCGGGAGGAACTAGCTGGAGAGCTGCAAGAAGCACGTGGGGATCTCAGACATTCTGTTGGCGATCAAGATGATGGTCATGGTGGTGGTGGTGTTGCTGCTGCTGGTGGTGGTGATGATGATTGTGGTTGATACCAGATGACTAGGTGTTGTGAATATTATGATTGCATAATTTTATCGTGTCAATGATTAGCAAGTTTGTGATTATTGATATTGATGGTGTTGTTGATGATGATGATGCCTTCGCCCTCTCGAGGCCGAATGAGTTGGAGCTGAGACCCCGCGTCAGATGGCCCTAGGGATCGGCAAAGGATGAGAGGTGATGATGCAAGGAGCAACACAGATCCAAAATGGATATTTAACCATGAAAAAATATTCAAAAAAAAAACGGGACTTAAAATTGGGAATTAATCAACAAATTGGGGATGTCCGGTTGCAGCTCTTTGTCATGTTCTATCCCTAGTTGATCAAAGCATGTTAGAATGATCAACCTAAGTTGACGAGTGTTTTTTGGGACTCGTAACTCGTGACAGGTGATGGATGTGATTCCAAGGGCTGAGAGGATGACGGGGCCATGGGTTTGTAATATTTTTGGGGGATAAGAAAACAAGCTCTACACATTCCCACCAGAACTCTAGATTGGCCTTGTTGAACAGTCTTTTCTCACTGAGGTTGAGAGGTCTTGGAGTGAGCAAAAGGTGATGACCAGGAAGATGAACCGCTTCCGCTAGAGTCCCTTATCAGCGTCGAGCGTGGCGGGTTCGTTTCATGTTTGGTATTAAGGACTTGCGCGGCGGACAAGTGGCCTTGAATGCTAGTCACATTTAGGACCCATTTTATTTTCTTAGCCATCCGGTCACGCGGATGCCAAATTTGCAGCTCTGCTCCAGGGTTTTTGACGCATCGTGGCTGTCCTTTGGGTCTTGCCTTGGCATTGACGGTTGGGGCTGCTGAAGCTCTGTAAGTATCATACTAGTACATATAATATTGTATATAGTAATATATACATACATATCCTGGAGTAGATAGAATATCGGACATTTTCAAAAAGGATTTTCAAAAACATAAATATATAGTTGGAATATGTTCAAAACCCTCAGTTTTTACACGTTTTTCGTCTTTGTTAAGTCATTTTTAGCCAGTTTTGGACACGTGTCTGGAGAAATTTTGAAAAATGCAAAAATCAAACAACACCAAAAAATAGATAGAATATTGTTTCAAACCAGGTAGATAGAATATTTTGAGGGAATTGTGAACCACGCGCAGGCCCCACAGCAGCTTGAGACCCTCCAAACCATATTCCAACTACCAGTTTTCGACCTTTGCGGGGGGGGGTCGAAATATTCCAACTACCTATTTTTTTTTAAGTGGCCGACATCCAACATAATTCCATCATAAATCCCGCACCCTCCAAAAAAAATATTCTATCTACTTTAGGATCACTCTATATATATATATATATTTGTGTAATTCACATGAAGCACGGTTCAAACGTAGTTGCCCCAATTCACACATTTGCCCGCACCTGCTGCCAACAATTCAAGATTTTGGTAGTAAAGTAGTAATGTAGTGAACCTGACAATCGTCCATACTGGTACCCATCCATACATATCCAAACCTCATTTGTCCAAGGTTACTGCTTGGGAGCATTAAGATGTGCTGAAACATGTTGAAACCATACCCCAGAGAGGGGTTGATGGTTGGGCATATGACACGGTTTCCGTCTACATTTCCATGGAAGGGATGATAAGATGTTTCATGGCTCCACGCGACTGCTGAAGCAGATCAAAGATGATGGGCAGAACTGCTTCGTTAGTTTTTTGGCACTGGACTGACTGCAGACTTTCAGAACTTCAACTTGGTTTCATCCGGCTAAATTCAACTACTGGAAATCATCACCAAAGATCATCCATTGATCCAAGTATTTGCAAATGTTCTTCGCTTTGTTGACGGCCCAATTTGGCTCCTGCTAGCTGTCGTTTCCATGATCATGGATTGTTTTTCTTCTTTTAGACCTTGGGGCAGGTACCCGGATATGAAAAACACGTTTGAACCGAATGCACCTAGCATCACCTAAGTGTCTCTGATCCGATCTTTTGGGGCGAAATATGTTTGTCTGTAAGTCTGCAGTTGTCATTGAATTTGCATGTCAGAGTTGTTTGTTGGGGGGTGCCACCCGCAACTGATTCAGACTCTGGGAGGCTCCCCTCGGCCCCCCGTGGCGACGCGGTCGAATGTTTCGAAAATGCAGGTTGAAAAAAGTGCAACCAATTAGGTGTGTATGTATAGAATGGAATGGAATGTACTGTAGTGTAATATAATGTGAAATACTGTAACGTAAGGTAAGGTAATGTAATGTGAAGTACTGTAACGTAAGGTAAGGTTAAGTACTGTAACGTAAGGTCAGGTAATGTAATGTAATGTACTGGGATGCAATGTAATGGTATGGTATGGTACCGTATGGTATGATATGATACGGTGTGGTATGGTATGTAATGTCATGTTATATTGTCATTGATTACTGTATAAGTATAAGTATATTACATGCTTGAATATTGTGTTTCTTGTTATTTAAAGAAAATAAAATATGTAGAATATATATATATATGTCAAATGATACCTTGTTGGAAAAAACTGGTTAAATTATTATATAAGTAAAATTTCCGCAGGTGCGGGCCTCGATTTGGGAAAAAATACATTAAATTGCTTAGCGAGAATTCGATTTTGCCAAAAAAAACGCACAAAAAACTGATGCGCAGACTCGCACGAAAAAGTGACTGTTGACACTTTGCGAAGGCTGATATATTGGTAGCCTTCATTTGGATTCTTTGGCCACCCAGGGCATGTTGCTTTCTTATTATTACTACTAATATTACGTTAAGGGTGGCACCGCGCGCGCGCAAATCGGCTGATCCGAAAATCCAAAAAATGACAATTATTTTGGCGTTTTGGCCGAATACATCTTTAGTCTGCACGAAGACATAGCGAATACTCTTTTGCTCGACCTTTTCAGGACCGACCTCCCCAATGGCACCGAAATAATCCGATTATTTTTAATTTGGAAAAATGGGACATTCCAGAATCGGAGCGTTTTTTTTGCGATTTTCATTTTACGGTCCCAGTCCTGGTCCCTCGCTTCTCCCCTGGTTCGATTCCCCCTAGGTCCGTCCCAAGCCGCTGCGAGCTATTGCTATTGCCTTTGCTTGCCGAGCTTGTGCGCTATTTTCTCTGTGCTCTTTCTAATACGCACCTCTGCGAGACTGCCCGCTTGCTGCACCCGCCTTCTACCGCACACACTGTGCTTGCTTCCTTGTGCGCGCTGTTTTGGGGAGCTTCTTTGGGACGCGGCTTTCTGTAGCAACTTTGGAGAGCAGCTTTGGGGAACAACTTTGGGGAGCAACTTTGCAGCTTTGCAGCATCATTGACGAACAGTTTTTGAAGAACGACAGCTTTGGGGAGTAGCTTTAAGCAAAGCAACTTTGGGAAGCAGCTTTCGGCAACAACTTTAAGCGGGAGATTTAGCAGCTTTGGGGAGCAGCTGTGCGGAGCAGCTGGGGAACAGCTTTGTGGAGCAGCTTTGGGGAGCAGCTTTGGGAAGCAGGAGCAGCTTGGAGGAGCAGCTTGCGCGGCAGCTTCGAACAGAAGCTTTGAAAAACCGCAGCTTTGGGGAGCAGTTTTGGGGACTAGCTTTAGAACGCAACTTTGGGGGGCAGCTTTCGGTAGCAACTTTGCGGAGCAGCTTTCGGGAGCCGCTTTGGAGAATAGCTTTGGGGAGCCGCTTTGGGAACAAACAGGTTTGAAGGCAGCTTTGGGGCAACCGCTTTGCGGCGGTCCCCAAAGCGAAGCAGCTGCGGGGAACCGCTTTGGGGAGCAGCTTTGAGGAGCAGCTTGCGCGGCAGCTTTGAACAGCAGCTTTGGGGACTAGCTTTAGAACGCAACTTTGGGGAGCAGCTTTCGGTAGCAACTTTGGGGAGCAGCTTTCGGGAGCCGCTTTGGAGAATAGCTTTGGGAAGCCGCTTTGGGGAACAGGTTTGAAGTAGCAGCTTTGGGGCAACCGCTTTGGGGCAACCGCTTTGCGGCGGTGCTTTGGGGAGCAGCTTTGGGAACTTTGTGGAGCAGGTCTGGGGAGGAGCAGCTTTATGGATCAGGAGCAGCTTTGAGGAGCATCTTTGCACGGCAGCTTTGCACGGCAGCTTTGAAGAACCGCAGCTTTGGTTTGGGTAGCAGTTCCATGGACTAGCTTTAGAACGCAACTTTGTGGAACAGCTTTCAGTAGCAACTTTGGGAGGCATCTTTCGGGAGCCGCTTTGGAGAATAGCTTTGGGGAGCCGCTTTGGGGAACAGGTTTGAAGCATAGCCGCTTTCGGGCAACCGCTTTGCAGAGACGCTTAAGGGGGAACAACTTTGGGAAGCAGCTTCGGGGAACCGCTTTGGGGAGCAGCTCTTTGGCAAGCTTTCCGGAACAACTTTGAGGAACAATTGCTTTGAAGAGCAGCAGCTTTGGGGAGCAGCTTTTGGGGGCAGCTTTACAGACAACTTCGGAGAGCAGCTTTCGGTAGCAACTTTGGGGCGCAGCTTTGGGGAGCCGCTTTGCAGAATAGCTTTGGGGAGCCGTTTTGGGGAATAGGGTTTGAAGAATCGCAGCTTTGGGGCAACGGCTTAGCAGCTTTGGGGAACAGCTTTGGGGAGGAACAGCTTTTGGGAGCAACTTTGGGGAGCAACTTTGGACAGCTTTCCGGAACAGCTTTGAGGAACAGCTTTGAAGAACAGCAGCTTTTGGGCACACATTTACAAGGAACTTCGGGGAGCAGTTTTCAGTAGCAGCTTTGAGGAGCAGCTTTGGGGAGCCTTTTCGGAACAGCTTTCGGGGCGTAGCTTTGGGAAATCGCTTTGGGAAGCAGCTTTTGGTAGGTAGTGTAGTGTAGTGTAATTGAGTGTAGTGTGGTGTGGTGTCGTGTAGTGTGCTGTAGTGTACTGTAGTGTAATGCAATTAGTGCAGTCCAGTGGTGTAGCGTAGTGTACCGTAGCGTAGCGTAGTGTGTAGTGTGTAGTGTGTAGTGTGTAGTGTGTAGTGTGTAGCGTGTAGTGTAGAGTGTAGAGTGTAGAGTGTAGAGTGTAGAGTGTAGAGTGTAGAGTGTAGAGTGTAGAGTGTAGAGTGTAGAGTGTAGAGTGTAGAGTGTAGAGTGTAGAGTGCAGAGTGCAGAGTGTAGAGTGTAGAGTGTAGAGTGTAGAGTGTAGAGTGTAGAGTGAGTGTGTAGTGTGTAGTGTGTAGTGTG